AGCGTCTTTACTTTTCAGCGCCTCACCGCGTACCGCGAGGAAAAGCTCCGCAGAGAGCAAGAAGAGCAGAGACTGAGGCGTGAGCGTGTACGTCGTTCAAGCGCGGAGTCTACTTCGCGATTAGCTGTGTTACAGGAAGCAACGGCCCGTCGTTGTCGATCCACGGAACGGCCACGGTTCGAGCAGAGGAACGCGGAAATCATCAGGGGACTTACGAATGCCAGGGCGCAGCGGGAGGACTCGGAAATCAAAGCTCAGAGGAGAGAGCAAAAAGTACATCCGTACTGGGTGTGCTAGGGATCTCACAACTTCTGATTTGGAGCGACTCACAGTTGCGTTTGCCCCCCAGACAACCTCGGTGCTCGTGAGGCCTCATCAGTAGGTATTGGCGGTCTCCCACCAGATACTTTCGCAGCTTAGCACCCCATACGAAACTGTGACGACAAGACTGTTTGATGCCACTGCCTCACAGAAACGGCGGATTAAGGCAAGGGAGGAAGAGAAGAAGGAGCAGACGGAACTGATGGACACAGAGAGAAAGAAACATGGTGAATATCAATCAAAACCTCATTAGGAGGTATGCGACTCACTTCGCTCCCGTACAGGCGTTGTAGTCGCCGAGAAGTTCGGCAAGGCCCCTGGCTCGTTTGCAGGAAGCGTGATACACACGAAATTAACGTCCACGCCAGCGTGGCGACAACGCCTTTCCACTCTGCCCATTTGGATAATTGTGACTCGCGTTCCAGGGCAGTGGAGCTCGCCTGTTTCTAAGCCGGTTCACGAAAGTCTTTCGCCGGAATCAACCAAGTCCCAACCGTGCAGCTCCTACGGCTTGGTTTGGTTGGCAGATGCAGAACTTTGGTTTCGCGAGCCACCTAAACCTGAGCCGTAACCTGCTTAGCTTATGCGCCATGCCCGCGAGAGTTCAGATCCCCCGGCGATGTCGCTGGTGCTTCCGTTTCATTGGTCGAAACTGCGTTCGAGGCTATAAGCACGACCAAACAACGAACAACTTTCTCGGTGCCCATCTCGCAGTTTCTAACGTAGACAAGGCAGCGTGTTCGAGTGTTAGAGATGGTAAACTATGAATCTTCTGAGCTCTGCCAGTGCAAGCTCGACTCCTGCCGCTATCGTATCGTAATAGCAGGACACGGACGAGCTTCTGAGAGCAATCTTTTGGTAGGCCGCTATGGTGCTTACCTTCTGGTACCGACTCTCCACCTCTGATGAGTTGTCAATCCTGACTAGCCCCATCCTAGCTGTCCATCATGTTTGCTTCCGCAGTCATCACCATACGTGCAACGTGACCGACGGAGACGCTTCTAACCGGATAGAGCATGAGAAGATCGAAGCGCGAAAGAAAGAGGCATAGAAACGATCAAACGAAACACCACCGACTAGTCCTTTATCTCCCGAATTTCCCTCGCGGGACCCACAGTACCGGAAGATATACAGTTGGGTTCGGTGGCTCTCTCCTAGGAAATGCGATGCACACGAAGTTGACGTCCACGCCAAGTCGACGACAACGCCTCTCTATTCTGCTTACCTAGATAACTGCAACTCGCATTTTAAGACAGTGTAAATCGATTGCCTCTCATCTGGTTCTTGAGAGCAACCAAATTCCTCCAGCGAAGCAGCTGATGCCTCGTTTGGCTGCCAGATACGACCCGGTATGACACTTTGGCCGGGTGATTAAGGCGGCGGCCTGCTAAGCCGTTGGGTTCTGCCCGCGAGGGTTCGAATCCCTCAGGTGTCGTTGGTGCGGCCGTACTGACTTGTAGATACTGTGCTCGAGGCTACAAGTCTTAGTTTTTCAGCACTTGGAATGAGACAAGTTCCTCGAAGTCTACTCTACAATATTTGGCGCGACAGAGACAGCGTGTCCGAGTGGTTAAGGAGGTGGACTAGAAATCCACTGGGCTTTGCCCGCGCAGGTTCGAATCCTGCCGCTGTCGTATCATAGTCTTCGCAGAGCGCGGACGGGCACTTGGAAACATTCCATTAGTAAGCCGCTATGGTGTTTATCTTTTGCGGCGGCTCTCTATCTCCCATGAGGTTCTCCAGAGTAATCGCTCATCCTGACTGTCCATCATGGTTACGTCCGCAGTGATCACCATTTGTGCCACGTCTCGAACGGAGACGCTTGGAATCGAATGGACCCTGAGAAGATAGATGGGGACAAGCGAGAGCCGTGGTGAGGACCAATCAGAATCCCACTAACGAGTCACTTATCTCACTATTCTCCGCGTTGGGCTCCGTGACATTTTGGCCGGGTGGTTAAGGCGGCGGCCTGCTAAGCCGTTGGTCGATACTGTGTTCGAGGCTACAAGTCTTAGTTTTTTAGCACTTCGAATGGGACAAGTTCCTCGAAGTCTATTCTACAATCTTTGGCGCGACAGAGACAGCGTGTCCGAGTGGTTAAGGAGGTGGACTAGAAATCCACTGGGCTCTGCCCGCGCAGGTTCGAATCCTGCCGCTGTCGTATCATAGTCTTCGCACAGCGCGGACGAGCACTTGGAAACATTTCATTGGTAGCCGCTATGGTGCTTATCTTTTGCGGCGGCTCTCTACCTCCCATGAGGTTCTCCAGAGTAATCGCTCATCCTGACTGTCCATCATGGTTACGTCCGCAGTGATCGCCATTTGTGCCACGTCTCGAACGGAGACGCTTGGAATCGAATGGACCCTGAGAAGATAGATGGGGACAAGCGAGAGCCGTGGTGAGGACCAATCAGAATCCCATTAACGAGTCACTTATCTCACAATTCTCCGCTTTGGGTTCGTGACATTTCGGCCGAGTGGTTAAGGCGGCGGCCTGCTAAGCCGTTGGTCGATACTGTGTTCGAGGCTACAAGTCTTAGTTTTTTAGCACTTCGAATGGGACAGGTTCCTCGAAGTCTATTCTACAATGTTTGGCGCAACAGAGACAGCGTGTCCGAGTGGTTAAGGAGGTGGACTTGAAATCCACTGGGCTTTGCTCGCGCAGGTTCGAATCCTGCCGCTGTCGTATCATAGTCTTCGCAGAGCGCGGACGGGCACTTGGAAACATTCCATTAGTAAGCCGCTATGGTGTTTATCTTTTGCGGCGGCTCTCTACCTCCCATGAGGTTCTCCAGAGTAATCGCTCATCCTGACTGTCCATCATGGTTACGTCCGCAGTGATCACCATTTGTGCCACGTCTCGAACGGAGACGCTTGGAATCGAATGGACCCTGAGAAGATAGATGGGGACAAGCGAGAGCCGTGGTGAGGACCAATCAGAATCCCACTAACGAGTCACTTATCTCACTATTCTCCGCGTTGGGCTCGTGACATTTTGGCCGGGTGGTTAAGGCGGCGGCCTGCTAAGCCGTTGGTCGATACTGTGTTCGAGGCTACAAGTCTTAGTTTTTTAGCACTTCGAATGGGACAAGTTCCTCGAAGTCTATTCTACAATCTTTGGCGCGACAGAGACAGCGTGTCCGAGTGGTTAAGGAGGTGGACTAGAAATCTACTGGGCTCTGCCCGCGCAGGTTCGAATCCTGCCGCTATCGTATCATAGTCTTCGCACAGCGCGGACGAGCACTTGGAAACATTTCATTGGTAGCCGCTATGGTGCTTATCTTTTGCGGCGGCTCTCTACCTCCCATGAGGTTCTCCAGGGTAATCGCTCATCCTGACTGTCCATCATGGTTGCGTCCGCAGTGATCGCCATTTGTGCCACGTCTCGAACGGAGACGCTTGGAATCGAATGGACCCTGAGAAGATAAATGGGGCAAGCGAGAGGCGTGGTGAGGACCAATCAGAATCCCACTAACGAGTCATTCATCTCACTATTCTCCGAGTTGGGTTTGTGACACTTTGGCCGAGTGGTTAAGGCGGCGGCCTGCTAAGCCGTTGGGCTCTGCCCGCGAGGGTTCGAATCCCTCAGGTGTCGTTGATGCGGCCGTACTGATTTGTCGATACTGTGTTCGAGGCTACAAGTCTTAAATTTTCAGCACTTCGAGCGGGACAAGTTCCTCGAAGTCTATCCTACAATCCTTGGCGCGATAGAGACAGCGTGTCCGAGTGGTTAAGGAGGTGGACTAGAAATCCACTGGGCTTGCTCGCGCAGGTTCGAATCCTGCCGCTGTCGTATCATAGTATTCGCAGAGCGCGGACGGGCACTGGGAAACATTCCATTAGTAAGCCGCTATGGTGCTTATCTTTTGCGGCGGCTCTCTACCTCCCATGAGGTTCTCCAGAGTAATCGCTCATCCTGACTGTCCATCATGGTTGCGTCCGCAGTGATCGCCATTTGTGCTACGTCTCGAACGGAGACGCTTGGAATCGAATGGACCCTGAGAAGATAGATGGGGACAAGCGAGAGGCGTGGTGAGGACCAATCAGAATCCCACTAACGAGTCATTAATCTCACTATTCTCCGCGTTGGGTTTGTGACACTTTGGCCGAGTGGTTAAGGCGGCGGCCTGCTAAGCCGTTGGCCTCTGCCCGCCAGGGTTTAAATCCCTCAGGTGTCGTTGGTGCGGCCGTCTGATTTGTCGATACTGTGTTCGAGGCTACAAGTCTTAAATTTTCAGCACTTCGAGCGGGACAAGTTCCTCGAAGTCTATTCTACAATCATTGCCGCGACAGAGACAGCGTGTCCGAGTGGTTAAGGAGGTGGACTAGAAATCCACTGGGCTTTGCCCGCGCAGGTTCGAATCCTGCCGCTGTCGTATCATAGTCTTCGCAGAGCGCGGACGGGCACTTGGAAACATTCCATTAGTAAGCCGCTATGGTGCTAATCTTTTGCGGCGGCTCTCTACCTCCCATGAGGTTCTCCAGAGTAATCGCTCATCCTGACTGTCCATCATGGTTACGTCCGCACTGATCGCCATTTGTGCCACGTCTCGAACGGAGACGCTTGGAATCGAATGGACCCTGAGAAGATAGATGGGGACAAGCGAGAGCCGTGGTGAGGACCAATCAGAATCCCACTAACGAGTCACTTATCTCACAATTCTCCGCTTTGGGTTCGTGACATTTCGGCCGAGTGGTTAAGGCGGCGGCCTGCTAAGCCGTTGGTCGATACTGTGTTCGAGGCTACAAGTCTTAGTTTTTTAGCACTTCGAATGGGACAGGTTCCTCGAAGTCTATTCTACAATCTTTGGCGCAACAGAGACAGCGTGTCCGAGTGGTTAAGGAGGTGGACTTGAAATCCACTGGGCTTTGCCCGCGCAGGTTCGAATCCTGCCGCTGTCGTATCATAGTCTTCGCAGAGCGCGGACGGGCACTTGGAAACATTCCATTAGTAAGCCGCTATGGTGCTTATCTTTTGCGGCGGCTCTCTACCTCCCATGAGGTTCTCCAG